TCCGCCCCTCCCTTCCCCACTTCTCTCGCAGCCCCTCCCCTCCCTCTAGGCTCCGCCCCGGTGTCTTGGCCCCGCCCCTTCGTTAACGCTCTCCCCTTCGTTACGCTCTCCCCTCTAGGCCCCGCCCCTTCTGCCTGACTCCACCCCTCCCTCTTTCTCTTCCCTCTGGGCTCGCCCTCTTGCTTCCTCCTTTCTGGGCGGCTTCTCCACCGCACTTCTTGGCTCCTTCTGTTCCTCCTTCCTCTGAGCTCCTCCCTCTCCTCCCTCCCTATTGGCTGCTCCTCCACCTTTCTTAGCTCCTCCTCTTCTGTCGCAGCTCCTTTTCTTCTCCCCGCCTTGGCTCTTTCCTCTCCCTCTCTCCCTCCCTTTCCTGTTGTCCTCCTTGTATTCTCTCCCTTTCAGGACTCACGACTCACACACTGTGGTCTTTTTTTTTTTTTTTTTTAGTTTTTATTTAAATTCCAGTCAGTGCACACAGTGTTAAATTAGTTTCAGGTGTACAATTTAGTGATTTAACACTTCCATACAAAGACCGGGAGCTCATCACAAGTGCGCTGCTTAATCCCCATCAGCTATTTCATCCATATCCCGACCCACCTCATTGTGGTCTTAGATACACCCCTACCATGTTTTCTTTCTGTCATTCTTCACTCCTCTGGTCTCCTGCTTTTTACCTCTTTAATTCTTGTTAATGCACTTTTGTCTCCCCTGGGCCCTTTACCTGCAAACAGCAAGATATTATTTACCGCTCAGACTTGTGAGAATAAAATGAGACAATGTATGAAAAGCACTGATAACTGTACCTGGCGCTTAGTAAGCTTTCCATAAATGGTAGCTATTGTCATTACTAGCTTTTTTTTTTTTTAAGATTTTATTTATTTATTAGAGAGAGGGAGAGAGAGAGAAAGCACACGAGGGGGGTAGGGTCAGAGGGAGAAGCGGACTCCCCGCCGAGCAGGGAGCCCGATGTGGGACTTGATCCAGGGACTCCAGGATCATGACCTGAGCCGAAGGCAGTCGCCCAACCAACTGAGCCACCTAGGCGCCCCATTATTAGCTTTCTTTAGGCGGAGATTTCTTTTTTTTTCTTTAAAGTTTATTTAAGTCATCTCTACACCCAAATGGGGCTCTAACTCAAGACCCCAAGATCAAGAGTCGCATGCTCCTCCCACTGACGCAGCCAGGCGCCCCTGGGCAGAGATTTCTGACCCAATTCCTCTTCTGTGTGTTCCTCAACACCCAATAATTTTCTGACTCCTTCAGGAGCTTGGTTTCTGTAACTGTAAGCTGAGTCCAAAAAAAGTGGGTTTTTTTTTGTAAGTAATCAATTCAAAATATATTAATGAATAAGACTTATTTTTCTGACTCCTCATTGGATGGGGGAGCATTCTGGCATAAGGCACCGCACAGGCACTGGGAAGTTAACAGTCCTGGGTGTGGTTTAACTATAAACTTAAGCAACTTGAAAGTTCCAGGGCTTTTTAAAGGCCAGTTTTAGGGGCAGCAAGTTTGCTCTTAAAAACTGGAACTTGCCTTTTCCTGTGTGAAGTTTTGATAGTGATGTTTTGAGCCAACATTTTGCCAAACACATGTAAGAAATGGCATTTACAAAATATTTTTATATCTGCCTTTTCTCTGGTAATACCTCATCCTGGATCTCTATTCTTTATTTCATCAGGCTTCTTGGCAAAGAAACATGATCTTTAACCAAAACAAATGTCTGGAACTTCTTTTCCATAAACTCTTTTCTTTTTAGGCTGTTATTCTACATGTGTTCTACTTTTTATTCTGAGATTTCATCTTCTGTCTTTGGTGAGTCTCTCATTTTTAGGTTTAACACTCTAAACTTCATTTGGTAGCATCCAGCCCCTTGATTTTTTTTTTTTTTT